ATCTGAAAGTCATGATCAAAAAAAGAGCCTAGACATCATCTTTCAAGAAATTATCAAGGACAACTGCTCTGATATTCTAGAACCAGAGAGTAAAATAGAAATTGAAAAATCCACTAATCACTCCCTGAAAGAGACCCCCAAATGAAAACTCCCAGCAATATTATAGCCAAATTCCAGAGTTCCCAGGTCAAGGAGAAAATATTGCAAGTAGCTAGAAAGAAACAATTCAAGTATTGTGAAAACACAATCAGGTTAACACAGGATTTAGCAGCTTCTACATTAAGGGATCTGAGGGCTTAGAATACAATATTCAGGAGGGCAAAGGAGACAGGATTATAACCAAGAATCACTTACCCAGAAAAACTGAGTATAATCCTTCAGGGGGAAAAACGGTCATTCAGTGAAAAAGGGGACTTTCAAGTATTCCTTAGGAAAAGACCACAGCTGAATATAAAATTTGACTTTCAAATACAAGATTCAATTGAGACATGAAGAGGCAAACAGGAAAGAGAAATCATAAGAGACTTATTAAGGTTGAACTGCTTACATTCCTGCATGGAAAGATGATATTTGTAACTCATGAGACTTTTCTATTAGGGTAGTTGAGGGAAAAAAATGATATGTAGATAGACAGACAGACAGACAGATAGATAGATAGATAGATAGATAGATAGATAGATAGATAGATAGATAGATAGATAGATAGATGATAGAGAGCATAGGGTGAGTTGAAGTTGAAGGGATGATATCTAGAGAACAAAATTAAGGGGTGAAAGAATTATACTGGGAGAAGGAGAAAGGGAGAGGTAGAATGGGGTAAATTAACTCACATAAAACAGACAAGAAAATGTTTTTAAAGTGGAGGGGAAATGGGGGAAGGTGAGAGGGAATAAGTGAATCTTATTCTCATTGAATTTGGCTTAAGGAGGGAATACCATACACATTCATTTAGGTATGAAAATCTATCTTACTCTACAGGAAAATGGGGTGGAAGGAGACAAGGGGACAGGAGGATGATAGAGGGGAAGGCAGATTGGGGGAGGGGGTAATCAGAAGCAAACACTTTTGAGGAGAGACAGGGTCAAAAGAGAGAATGGAAAAAATGGGTGGCAGGATAGAATGAAGGGAAATATAGTTAGTTTTTCACAACAGGACTACTATGGAAATGTTTTGCATGACTACACATGTATAACGTGTATAGAGTTGCTTGTCTTCTCAGTGAGGGTGGATGAGTAGGGAGGAAGGGAGAAATTTTGCAACCCAAACTTTTAAAAAGAAATGTTAAAAAAAATTTTCACATTCAACTGGGAAATAAGATACACAGGCAATGGGAGTATAGAAAACTGTCATGCTCTACAGGGAAATAGAAGGGGAAGGGGATAGGTAGGACAAGGGTAGGGGGGAGATAGAAGGAAGGGCAGATTAGAGGAAGGAGCATTCAGAATGCATGCTGTCTTAGGGTGGGGAGAGGGACAAGTTGGGGAGAAAATTTGGAAGTCAAAATCATGTGGAAGTGAATGTTGAAAACTAAAAATAAATTAATAAAAAAATTTAAAAAAGAATCCTAGGAATAACTATATTGTGACATTTGGGGTCATTTACCAGGTAGTTTGAGGGAATTTCCCCAAGATCTATAAGTTTATTCCTATATTTTAAAACTACAATTCCTCAGCTAGTCTCTTCAAATTTCCAAAATTTTGTGTTGTCGTTTTTATACTCTGTGTAGTTCTCATCACTAGGAAAGAAAATATGAGGCTAATATTCCTATCAATACTTTCAGACGCAGGAAATTCAAGAAGTTGACTTTCTAAAGGGCAGATACAAACTGGCCCACAGTAATAATCATAGCACTTAAGGTCTGTTCAATTTTTTATTATTGCTTTTACTTTGCACCTGCTGTGTTCCTACTGTGCAGCTTTGAGAATGCATTAGCTATAAGCACTAGTATTTCCCACAGTTCAGTTAACAGCAAATTCCAGTTACCAGGAGTCATCAGGGCTCAGCAGACATTGTTAACAAAACACAATAACTGAGCAAAACTAGAAGGTGTGAAAAAGGAAAAAAAAGCAGCCAAATTTTGGGGAATCCAGAAACCTTTTTGTCTGTAAAAATCATGTTTCCATTGTAGCTTCCTCTTTTATAACCGAGACCTGATTGGAGAGCTAAGAAAGTTTGGTTTCTGATTACCATGTGCTCCTATGCTGAAGTGTTCCTGTTTTATATTCTAATGCCTGAAATTAGACTATTGTTTAGCTGTAGAGTAAAATTGCCCATATGTATATATTATATAAATACATGTATACATGTGTGCATATATGTATATATTTTAATATGCAATATATCATATATGTATATATGTGTGTATGTATATGTATGTGTATTTGTATACCATTTATTCACAAGGTTGTTTGAGAATTAATAAGATAATATATTTAAAGCACACTCCCTCTTCATCTCTGTCTTTTAGAATCTCTAGTTTCCTTCAAGATTCAGCTTGAGAATACCTTTCTGCCTGATGCCTTTCCTGTTCCCCACAGCTTGCTAATGTTTACCCTCACCACAAATAGCCATTTTTGTATGTATTTATAATTTATTGTACATAAAATAATACATATATATATCCACATTTATATTTTTCTTCTGATAGAATGTAAGAACATTGAGAACAGCAACTTTTTGTTTCATTTCTGTTTTTGTAACCCTAGTGCATAGTGGTGGCACATAGTACGTATTTAATAAATGAATGATTGTTTCCCCTCCCCGCCAAGGTCACTCAGCCAGCAACCAACATGAGGTGACTTGAGAGATAATAGGAATATACTCTCAACCTCTACCTTTTCTAATTGCCTTAATTTCAAAATTAATTACTTTGTTTTGTGGGGGGCGGGGTGGTAGGGAGTGTTTTCATACTGAAAGTCTGCTGTCAGAATACAGATACAAATTCAAATGCAAGCCAACTCAAAATAATTGATAGCTGTAGTTAACTGGTCACTTAGCACTGCTCTGAAAAAATAGAATTTGCTTGGATAGTTATAGGAAGTTGATAAACACCTAGAATATGTCTTGCCCAGGAAAGGTATTACTTAAGGAACTTTGGCTATACAGAGATCAACATGAGATTGCCAAATATTTGGCAGAGTGACATAAGAAAGTTGCAAAAGGTAAAACAGAAACTAAAAAGACAGAAAGTACTGAAAATAAAACACCTAATTCACAATGTGGCCCATGATGTTATACATATGCTGGAAATTATAGCTTAATATCATCATCATTAATGAAAGTATGTACCACCTACCTATGTGGCAGTACTCCAGTATTACCCAAAATACATCCATCTGATTTTGTGACCATGTTTTTCACATTTAAGACAGATTATTTTGATTCATTGTTATGGAAAGATTGTCTCCTTTCTCCCTCCTCCCCCACCCCTTTTCCCAAATCTCTTCTTAAAGTATGGTATGTATCCAACTATAAAAAGATTGTGTTGTCATTGTATTCAAAGCTCTGGAATGATTTAAATTTACCTCTGCCATACTCTGCTATCTGCTATCATACTCTTTTCCCCTTTGACATTGTGGTCACTTCTCCCTCTACCTTCCTGCCACTGCCATCCAGATGACCACTACCATTTCCAATTGAGGGCAGGGAGAGAGGGCAAAGGTGCTTTAGGAAGAAGTAGTTTTTGGCACAGTGAGGTAGGTAGTTCTACATTCTACAACTTGTACTTCCTATCAGTAGAATCTAACAGGCAAAATAGCCCTTGTGGTAAGAATAAGACTGGCCATAATTTGCTTTGATTTTGTTCATTTGTGTGTGTGTGTGTGTGTGTGTGTGTGTGTGTGTGTGTGTTTTGTAAAACAAGTCAACACAAAAACAATATATATAGTACTGAATATGTTGATAAAATTGAAATAAATTTTCTCAGTGATTTCAAATTACATGTACATAGTGGAATGGAAGTAAAATATGGACTATTTTGATTATATTGCTGAGTCAATCAATTGTGGGTGTTATGAAGGCAAACTTCTTATTTTCACTAAGGATTTTCTAAACTTAAAAAATTATATCACTGTCCCAATTTGTGGTATTTCTATTTGATATTCTTATTTGTGAATTCCAGAATAAGTGTTTATACTAATGGTAACATGTCGGTGGCATTTGCATTAAATTCAATTAAGGTCAAGATGTACATGCTATAGTGTAGAACACTGAGATGAATGTTGCAAATGCAAAGGTAAAACCTTAACAATTCTTTCCCTCTGAGAAGTAACATTCTTCCTGGAAGATTCAAGGAATACACATATAAGTAAATGCAAAGTAAATACTATGGGAATCAGAAAATGCCTCATATCAGAGGTAGCAAATGTGTTGAATACTGAAATGAGCTACTGATTCCAAAAGGTAGATGTAAAGAAAGAAAGAATTATAGGCCTTGGGGTACAGAAGCCCATAGATAGGAGAGAGAATACTTGATATGGGGGAATAGGAAGGAAGCCAGCAATGTCTCCTACAGAATAAGGTAAACAATAACTTATGAAAGAAAAGAAAAAAATAAAGTGTGGGGCAGTTGTACATTTTATCAATTTAAAGAAGACCCTAAATGGTGATTGAGTACTTCATAGAGCATAACTAATTAATATCTTGCTTCTTATGGAAAAATCTGACCACTATCAAAATAAATATGGCATTTATTTACTTTATGTTTTAAAAATTTATGTCACAACCATCAACTGAGTACTTAAATATCTACTACATATATTAATGCTCCAGACTATTTGTAAGAGTCTTGGCTTGGCAAAGCGGGGCAGGGTGGATTATTTTTTTTCCTCAAGAAAACCCTCAACCAAAACAATACATCTGTCAGGCAAGATCGCCACAATTCTTTGCCTGCCTGCTCTTTGTGGATCCATTTTTCTGGGAGTTATGCTTATTTGTTTGCTTGCTCTAAGCAATTTCAAAGTGGCTTCGATGATAGAAATGAAGTCTTGATATATACTGTTTGCCTCTACTTTTAACATCATCTTCTGAGCTGGAAAGTGAAGAAACAAAAAAAACAACAAAAACAAAAACATATCTTGAAACTCGAAAACATGTCCCTGCATTTTTTCTACCCTACTTTGCAGTTGAATACATAAAAGCCTGTTTGAAAGTTCATACCACATGTCTTCATGTTCTCCAATGCTCCTTTTATTTTAGCAGCTGTGGAATTTATAGGGTTTCTATAGTTTTTTTTTTCATCAAGCAATGGGAAACCATTCCTACATTTACTGGTTTCAGACATTCCTTCAGTATTAAGGTGAGGATTGCTTCATTTCCTTTCTATTATATTTTGTTTTTCTTCTGCAATTCACTGTGAACTATTACTCAGTAAATATCTTTCCTACTGCTATATATTGAGCCAAATAAAGGAAAAAGATAAAGCAAAGAAATAAAAAAGTTAATTGAAAAACTTCGATTTTGGTTTCTTATTTTACTATTGTGTGACCACTACCTAGCCAGGAAAGTTCAATTAATAGTAATGTAGTATGAGAGTGGAATGAATAGAAGACCTTTTTCTTCTACTCAGATCATTGTGACAATGAGATGCATGCATTAGTATTCTGTCAGGTAAAAGAGAAATTTAGATCTGCATGAACAGAAGATTCTCTCTCTCTCTCTCTCTCTCTCTCTCTCTATATATATATATATATATATATATATATGTGTGTGTGTGTGTGTGTGTGTGTGTGCGTGCATGTGTGTATTATCAAATCTATAAAATATACACTACAATTCACACATATAATGGGTTAGTCATGCAGGCCCTTCAAAATTTGCGATACTGTCCTGCTAACAATTACTCCTTCCCAGGTTCAATGTGCTATGTTTGTTCAGCATCTATTCAAATATATAGATCTCAGTCCCCACTAAAGTACTCTTGACCAGACGATGGCAAGTGAAATCAAAACTAAGGACACTTAATTGAAACAGAATACAAGGTAAACATGAAGAAACAAAACTAGATAACGAACATACTCAGCACCATGCTTTGATGGCTTTCTGTTCCCATGCCTCTTCTGCAAAGAATAATTTAAGTCAACCCTCTATTCAATCCTTCCCTGTATCCTAACATATTAGGAGAATAATACCTCAGTTCATTCATGAAAGTGTATTAGAGACCAGTAGCTGAAAAAAGAGGTGCTTAGCCACTTAACTTTCAGTCTAGATGCAATAGCTGGTGATCTTCATACTCTTAAGAATTGAAAATTCAAGATATCTGGGCCATATAAAGATTCCCTGGAACCAAGATGGTTGAGCAAAGGTAGGGGCTCACCTGAGTTTTCCTCCAAACACTCCAAATAGCTTTTTAAAAATGTTTGAGCAGCAGAACCCACAAAATATGGAGTAAAACCAGTTTCCATCTCAACACAACTTGGAAGGTCAACAGGAAAGTTCTGTTGTACCAAGGTGAGAGAGAAATATAGTCCAGCACAGGCTGTGCTCCAGTAAACCCTGAGCAGGACTTGGGGCAAATGAATCACTGGCAGCTGTGGAAGTTTCCAGACCTCTCAGCCCATAGACACCAAAGATAACTTAGAAGGTCAGCAGGAAAGGTCTGTCGGACCTGAGTGAGAGTGAAGAATAGTCTAGCACAGGTCACATCAGCACAGCCATGATCACAGCAACCCAGGCCTTGGGAGTGACTGAATTAGCAGGAATGGTAGCAGTGGCTGATTCTGGAGCTCTCAGCCCACAAACTAGAAGAGGGTTGAATAACTGGTTAGAAGAAGATTACAGGGGTCTTTTGCTAGTGTTAAGGGAGGACTCTGTTGCTTTGATTATACTCTTGTCTGGGTTGCAGTCCTAGATGGCATGCCTAGGGCAAGGAGGATCACTAGCACACCAGAGCTTGTGGATGCAGTGAAACAGGAAACCTCCTCACAGTTCCAGGGAAGAAAAGAATGCTTGTGGTAACTCACAGATAAGAACACAGGGCAGAAGACTAGTAAATACTTTCCCTTAGATCATACCACCTTGGAAGAACTGAAAACTTACAGGTCCCTAGAAGTATCCCTGAAAACAGCTACACAAAACCTCTAAAGCTTGGGACAGTGCTCCCTTCACCCTGGAAGCAAAGCCCTACTTTAACAAAGGGTTAAAAATAAAGTAATACACTGGGGAAATGAGCAAACAATGGAAAATAAAACAAAATAAAACAAAAATAAACCCTCTGACTTTTGAAAGTTACTATGGTGATAAGGAAGATCAAAACTCATACTCACAGGAAAACAAAGTCAAAGCTCCTACATCCAAAGCCTCCAAGAAAAAATATAAATTGGTCTCAGATCATGAGAGAGCCCAAAAAGGATTTTGAAAATTAAGTAAGAGAGGTAGAGGAAAAAGAGGTGAGAGAAATAAGAGTGATGCAAGGAAATCATGAAAAACAAGTCAACAGCTTGGTAAAGGAGAGACAAAAAAAATACTGAAGAAAATAACACTTAAAAACAGACTAGGTGAAACGGTAAAAGAGGTATAAAAAGCCAATAAGGAGAAATTGCCTTAAAAAGTAGAATTGGCCAAATAGGAATGGAGGCACAAAAATTCACTAAAGGAAATAATTCCTTAAAAATTGGAATGGAGCAAATGGAAGCTAATGACTATGAGAAATCAAGAAACAATAAAACAAAACCAAAAGAATGAAAAGAATAGCAGACAGTGCGAAACATCTCATTGGAAAGCCAACTGACCTGGAAAAGAGATCTGGGAGATACAATTTAAAAATTATTGGATTCCCTGAAAGCCATGATCAAAAAAACTAAGAGCCTAGATGTAACCTTTGAAGAAATTATCAAGGGAAACTGCCTTGATATTCTAGACCAAAGGGTAAAATAGAAATTGAAAGAATCTAAAGCACCAGCCCTGAAGTAAGGAAGACGTGAGTTCAAATCTGACCTCAGACCAAACACTTGAATCTTACTAGCTGTGTGACCCTGGCAAGTCACTTAACCCCAGTTGTCTAAAAAAGAAAAAAAAGGAAAAAAAAGAAATTGAAAGAATCCACCAATCACCTCCTGAAAGACATCTCAAAATGAAAACTGCCAGGATACTATAGTTAAATTTCAGAGCTCCCAGGTCAAGGAGAAAATATTGCAAGCAGTCAGAAAGAAAAATTTAAGTATCATGTAGCCATAGTAAGGACAGCATAAGATTTAGCAGCTTCTACATCAAAGGATAGAGGGGCTTGGAATATGATATTCCAGAGGGCAAAGGAGCTAAGATTACAATCAAGAATCACCTCACCAGAATAATTCAGTATAATGCTTCAGGGGGAAAAATGGATATTGAATGAAACAGAGGACTTTCAAGCATTATTGATGAAAAGACTAGAGCTGAATAGAACATTTGTCTTTCAAATACAAGACACAAAAGAAGCATAAAAAGGTAAACAGGAAAGGGAAATCACAAGGGACTTAATAGGGTTGAACTATTTATATTCCTACATGGGAAGATGATATTTGCAGCTTATAAAACCTTTCTTGTTTTTAGGGTAGTTAGAAGGAGTATACATAGATAGAGAGCACAGATGTGAGTTGAATATGAAGGGATGACATCTAAAAATAAAATTGAGGGGTGAAAGAGGAATGTAGGAGAAAGAGAAAGGGGAGGTAGAATGGGGTAAATTATCTTACATAAAAAATATCTCACATAAAAGAGGCAAGAAAAAGCTTTTACAATGGAGGGGACAAGGAGGGAGATGAGGGGTAGTGAGTGAACCTTACTCTCATCAGAATTGACTCAAAGAGGGAGTAACATACACATTCAATTGGATATAAAAATCTATTTTACCCTACAGGAAATTCGGATGGGGGGGTGATAGAAGCCAAGGCAGATTGGAGGAGAGGTAATCAGAAGCAAAACACATTTGAGGAGAGACAGGGTAAAAGGAGAGAGAGAACAGAATAAAAGGTGGGTGGATAAGATTGAGGGAAGTAAAACTAATTGTAACTGTGAAAAAATTGAAGCACATTTGCCTCATAAAGCCCTCATTTCTCAAACATATAGAGAATGGAGTTAAATTTATAAAAATGAGAGCCATCCCCCAGTTGATAAATGATCAAAATATATGATCAGTTTTCAGATAAAGTAATGAAAGCTATCTATAGTTGCATAAAAAATATTTTAACTCACTATTGATTGGAAAAATGCACATTAAAAAATTTGGAGGTACTACCTCATGCCTATTGGATTGGCTAATAGTACAGAAAAGGTAAATGACCATTGTTGGAGGGAATATAGGAAAAATGAGACACTAATGCACTATTGGTAGAGTTGTGAACAGATTCAACCATTTTGTAAAGTAATTTAAAACTATGTCCAAAGGGCGATAAAACCTTACACACCTTTTGACCTAGCAATAGCACTATTAGGTCTGCATCCTAAAACAGATAGCAAACAAAGAGGAAAAGGACCTATAAGTACAAATACATTTATAGCAGCTCTTTACTGGGGCAAATAATTGGAAATTGAGGGTATGCCCATCAGTTGGGGAATGGCTGAAATGGTATGCAATTATGATGGAATACAATTATGGTATAAGAAATGATGGAAAGGAAGTTCTAAGAAAAACCTGGAAAGACTTGCATGGGCTGTTGCAAAGTGAAATGTACTGTGCATAAAGTAACAGCAATATTGCAGGATGATCATTTGTGAATAACTTTGCTCTTCTAAGCAATACAAAGATCCAAGACAACTCTGAAGGACTTATGATAAAAAATGCATCCATCCTCAGACAAAGAATTAATGGTGTCTAAATAGAGATTGAATCATATTTTTTTGAACTTTATTTTTTTCCAGGTTTTTTTTTTGTGTGTTTCCTTTCACAACATGACTATTATGGAAATGATTTGCATGACTACACATATATAACCTATATTGAATTCCTTGCCTTCTCAATGGTGGTGGGGTAGGGAGGGAGGAAGGAAGATAATTTGGGACTCAAAGTTTTAAAAATGAATGTTAAAAATTGTTTTTACATGCAACTGGGGAAAAATAAAACACTAAATAAATTAATAAAAAGATAAAAAAAAAGACTACCTGTTTCTCAGATTACCACATTCCTTCTACCTCCATGCCTGTCTATCTACATTCATAGCACCAGTATGGTCGCAGTGCAGATGCCAATTCTTCTTTTCTTCCTGCTATTTCTTCTATTGCTTCTGTGTGCCTGCCAATTTGTCACACGAGAGTTAAACAGCCATTTAAATCCACTTACACTGAAAATCTCATCAATAATCAGAAGCTACTCTAGGTTATGTCACCATGGTGTAGTCACACGCACAGCCTTCTGAGGGATTAAGTCTGGAAAATGTATCTAAATAAGTAAGGATACCTCTTGGTAAAAAGCAGTGAGGAAACATGGAATCCTACACATATTCTCAATGTGATCTTCCCAAATTGTAACACAGAAATCCTGGCCATTAAAGTGTATTATTAAATAATAATTATAAGATGCATAAGATACATTAGAGAATAAAAATACTTTACATACATGATGTCATTTGAGTCTTACAACAATTCTAGGAAGGAGGTACTACTAGAATTATTATCTGCATTTTAATTATGGGTAAACAGGCTCAGAATGTTAAGTAACTTGTCTTCGATACTACCTACATGAACTATTATACTATTCTTATTAGATATCTTCTTCTTTTCACTCCTTCTCTGCATCTTACATCATGCAATGCAAATGGAAAATGACTGGAGCTTGTGATTAAATAGGAGAAAGAGAATGTATTGGATTACCTTTGGATAACTGGATAGTTCTTTGAATAACTCCAAGTTTCTCCCTGAAGCAAGCTGCATCTGTTTTCAACATCAATGTTCTTTTAGTGATAATGTATAGTTTCATGCCCTGGAATACCACAGTTTTCAAATAATTAAAATTGAGGGCCATGTAAAGGGCAATTGGAAAGACTGTGGTAGGTATGAGCCCACCACAACATGTTATAAATGAGGAACTACTCGAAAGAAGTGGTATAAAGGATGTTGTCAGATGAATGTATAATCACAAAAAAAAAGATGGGCCCTCATGTAGTCAAAGCAAGATATGAATGACATCAATTGTACTATTCATTGCTCCATAATATAAAGAGAATATCATGATGTTAGGTAGATACCATATGGAGGTTTTACAAAATGGAGTAGATAATAGTTGAGTAGGGCAGTTAAGCATGGATGAATTTAATCTTCATGATAGGAGGGAGCACACTCATTAATGAGATTTCACATTTAATGTAATTAATTAAAAAAATGAATGGATAAATGGATGGATGAGAAAGCATGCATTAAGTTATTGCTATGTGGCACTATGTTGTTTGATGAAAAAATATTACAAAAAGTAAGATACACTCTTTCGTCATGGTCCTTATGTTCTAATGTGGGAAGACAACGTGTAGAGAGGTATTGACCAGTGAAGGGAGTTTTGGAGCATCAGATATGGGGGCTTTAGTATATTATAGATCACATCACTGCTCAGCTCAAAAATCTTTAGTTACTCCCTGTTGCCACTAGATTAAAGTTAAAACTTCTCTGTGTGGCACTCAAGGCCATCCACTGTTTTAGAGCACCATCATTTTCTGCATTCATTTCATATTTTCTCCTCTACATCCTCTATATCCCACTCAGATTTCACTAACCAGTCCTTTTTACGTATAACCCTGATCACACCTAATGTGCTCTTCCTTCTTGGTCTACAGAGCTCCTACTGATCCTTTAAGCCTTAATCCAAGGGGCAGCTAGGTGGTGCAATAGATAGACCACCAGCCCTGAAGTCAGGGGGACCTGAGTTCAAAACTGGCCTCACACCAAACACTTGACACTTACTAGTTGTGTGACCCTGGGCAAGTCACTTAACCCCAATTGTCTAAAACTTAAAAAAAGAAAAAAAAATAACCCAAATATGCTATTCTTTTCTTAAAGCCCATCCTGATATCTATGGCTAATAAAAACATTTTCTCTCAAATCCAACAGAGTCTACATTTTATCATTTTCTCAAATACTCATCAAGTAATATTATGTACTATTTGTTCCCTGAGGGCAGAAGCTATGTGTATTCTAATCTTTCTAGCTCTCTCAATGCCTAGCACCCTTATCTGCATACCTGATAATTGTTTGTTATCAAGTTTTAACCTCTTTGGACTTCAGTTTCTTGATCTGTAAAATTGGGGTAGTATTATTTTCTCTATTTCATTGGTGTCTTGCAGAGAAAGTAATTTGTAAATCTTAAATTACCTCTAAAGAAATGAGAGTAATTGTTATTGTGTCTCCATAAGTCAGTCTCTCTGTCTCTCTCTGTATCTCTGTCTCTGTCTTCCTCCCTGTCTCACTGTCTCTCTGTCTCTGTCTCTGCCTCTCTGTCTCTTTCACACACACTCACACATACACATATACCCCTCACATTAATTTTACCAGGAGATGTAGAAAGCTGGCTTTTCTCTATACAAATCCTACTTTGCTCTGATTCAGTTTAATGTGTCCATTTCCAGAGGCTACTGACCTTGGCCATAATGATCTATGCCAATGATTTTCTGCTTTGCAGGTGACTGCTCTGACTGTGGAAATGTGTCAGCAACAAGTACATTTCTGATAATGTCATGGCCCAAAGACCATGAGAAAACTTAAATCTGTTGCCAGTATATAACTGGCAAGTTGACAACATCTACTATTATTTGGTTTAGGTTCTGATGCCCCCAAAGGAAACAACATCATAGGCTACCGGCCTATTTTTACAACAAGTGAGGGCTAAAGAACTAATGAGAGAATTCCAAGGAGTGATGGAGATTCTGATTGATAGGGCTCATGACAATCAGGGACAGGATGTTGTTTTATAAACAAAGAGACAGACAAATATAAAGATCTATGTCTGTCTGTCTATCCATCTATCTATCCATCTATCTACCTATCATCTATTTATCTATCTATCTATCTATCTATCTATCTATCTATCTATCTATCTATCTATCTCTTGAGGCAAGAAAAGTTAGAAACATCATAAAGATCAGTGGTGAACCAACCAACAGAATGTAAACTTCTTGAAGGCAGGGGCTGTTCCTTTTTGCCTCTGTGTCACTAGCCCTTTGCCCAATGCCTGGGACTGTAATAAATGCTTAAATTTAATGAACTGATAGAGACTTAATGTACTTCCATTCTATACAAGTATTATCCAATGTTCACTGAAATACATTATTTTAGGTTTCAATACATGTGAACATATTACAATATATGTGAAACATTGATATTCCACACATCATACCATGCTTCAAGGATACATAATTTTACTGTGTGTTTATTCTCTCCCCTTAGATGGATAACAGCCTGATTATGTATTAAGAGAGTATCTTCATGAGTTGTTGTGGCTAGAAACTAATCACTTCCTGAAGTATGTTGATAATAGGACCCTAGAACAGTTCAACATATATACCATACCATATTAGTTATAGTAAATTGAAAAGGGTTCTGGATTTGGAGTCAGAGAACCTGGGTTCAAATCACAGCTCAGCAAGCTGTTATTTATGATGGACTGAGGATGTTACTCACAGATGTCAGTTTCCTCATTTATAAAATTGAAGACAGAATAGGCTGGGACTTAGGACTTCTAAATAGTCTTCCAGGTATAAATCTACTACAATCTTATGCCAGGCTTTCCCCAAAAATGCTATGAATCTTGAATATAGTCCATAATTGCGTTCTGTGAAGGAAAATGACAACAAAAGGAGTGAAAAGAGAGGAGTGATAATAAGAACAAGGAAGTAAGTGTATAAGTTGAAAGAGAAATGGACTTGGTGTCAGAGGACCTGGGTATATGAAACTGATATCTATTACTCACAGCCTATGTTACCATGTATAACTCACATAACCAATTAGCAGTTCAGGTTTTACACCTATGAAATAAATGGGTTGGACTAGACCAGGGGTAGCAAAACTGCAGCCTTGAGGCCACATGAGGCCCTCAAATGTGGCTCTTTGACTGAATTCAAACTTTATAGAATAAATCCCCTTAATAAAAAAGATTTATCTGTAAAACTTGGACTTAGTCAAAAGGCCATATGTGGCCTCAAGGTCACAGGTTCCCCACCCCTGGACTAGACTGTCCTTCATGGTCCTTCTAACTCTAGATGCTATTGTGTGATCCATAAGAATATAGATCCTTACTTTAATGGAAAGAAATATACCATTATACTACTCTTTACCTCCCTAATTCCCCCCCCCCCCTTATATTAGAGGCAGCCGTAGTTGTTGTAGTAGTTGTTTGTTCTTCATTTTCAAAGAAGACCAATGGCATCATGGGGTGATGTCTTGACTAGTGTATGAGTTGTACTTAAATGAGACAAAGTTGCACAAAGTTGCCAGCCTCACTCTTTCTTCCAGTCATTGAAATCCAATGGCAAGAGGAAAAGACAAGATGACTGGTGATGGCCTGGGATACAGTGGATGACCTTGGCATCTTTGATGTCTGACCAAGTTCTAAGCACTCCACAGTGCCTGCTTCAGCCATCTTCATGGTTGTTAAAATGAATTGTTGTCATCTGCCCATTCCACCAAGGGAAAGCAGGCAATTCCTCTAACTTACTGGTGGGTTTCAGGCCTGTTGGTTACCCTCAACCTGATTTAGCACAACTGCCAAGAAGGTTTTACTGGGGTGTGGCCACTGAGCATGCTACTAGTGGAATAATTTCTTCGGACTTGAAATCAGGAAGACCTCAATTTAAATTCTATATCAGACACACTAGCTGCAGGACCTCTAGGATAAATCTCTTAAGTTTTTTGAGTCTCAGTTTCCTCATCTTTAAAATGAGTATAAAAATGCACCTACCTCCCAAGATTATTGTGAGGATCAAATGAAAATTTACATAAATGTATGTGTAAGGCTTTACTAACCATAAAACTGCATATAAATATCACCATTAGTGTTATTAATGATAATTATTATTATATGAGTACCAGCCTAGGAGAGACTCATCCATAGAAAGTGAGCTGTCATGAAGATATTTTTTTTTTGACCACGACAATGTGGGGGATTAAAATTGTCCAATCTACAATAAAAGAGACTGAGGCAAAGTACTGAGCCAATGGCATTTTTTTAAAGGGCCTTTCCCGAAATGGACCACAGATCTTCCTCACGATCTGAGATGCCCCCTTCTTCTGGGACCTTGTATTTACAAATATGCAAAAGAGGCATGAATCCCATTGGTTGACAGATGACACATAAGCTAAAATAAGCAAAAATGATGTGTGAGCAGGGTCAGAAATTGGGTGAAGCAAGGAATATCTCCACTGACTAGGTGGTCATTAGATGGATGGGGATACAAGCTATATATACGCTCCAAGAACACATCAGGGGGAGTTTCCATGCCCTACCACCACTTATGCTTGTTTTGGTCATGGAATTTGAGCAAAACAGGGATGGAGATATCTTTGTCACCATTCTTGTGGTTGTATAAGAAAGCCTTGTAACTTGGGAAAGAAGTAGTGAATATTACATTAAAGTTTGAGGCCTATTATAAGGCCCTCCTATTAGAATTTATATTCCTATGTGATTTATACAAACTATGGATTAATATACGGCCTATATTTATACCTATTATTAGATGACTGACTAAATATGTATTACTAGATGAACATATTACAAAAATTGCTAACAATCATTACCCCCTACAAAATCATAAAGAACTGACTAATTGTTTTTAGAGTTTGAGTAGGGGGTCCTCAATGAATCATTTCTCTCAACAATTTACCAAAAATCATCTCCTAAATCATGGAAGGCTTACGGTCTGACTTGATGAAGAGAGGACTTACACTAACAAAATCACAGT